CAGCTGGGGCTGAGCCCAGGGCTCCCCTCATTCCTGAGGGAGCAAATTCCCTGTGTGGCCCTGGCAGAGAGAAAATGAAGGTGAAATATATTTATTTATATACATTTTTATACATCTATTTAAGATTATATATGTCTCTGTCTAAAATGTTATATACCAGAATAAATGTATAATATGTTATAGTAAAAAAAATATACACACATATATATAAATATTTAAATTTTAAAAATTATATATTTATCTAAAATGCTATAAGAATGGTTTGGGTTGGAAGGAACCTTAAAGACCATTCAATGCCATATTATATATGATATGTAATATATAATAGATATAACACAGTTATATAATATATATGTGCATATGCATTATATATTTACACATACACATAATTATACATAGATATAAAAATAATGGCATGAAAAATATACACTCATATTACATACATGTAGATATGATACAATTTCTAGATCTAATTTATTATATCTTTTATGTATTATAGATAATATATAATGAATGGAAGTATAAATGCACATATACAAGTGCATGCTTACATTTATGCATATATATTAAAATAGACATACATAAAAATATAAAAATATATAAAAATACAAAATATAAGAGTATGTTTAAAATATATAAATATAAAAACACATACATATAAAATATATATATATATATATAAAATAAAAAAGGCCTACTGAAAGAGGCATCCTATAAGACAACTATAGGAAATATATATATATATATATGAATAAAATATTAAAAAAGATATTAAAAAATGATGTATTTTCTCTGTCCCTGCGCAGTGCCAAGAGCAGGATGGTGCCCTGGGCTCCCCTCCAGCCCTCAATTCCCACAGGATCCATGGGAGAGCTCCCGGGCAGCCTCCTGGAGCCAGCGGGCTCATCCCGCTCCGGGAGGCTGCCAGAGGTTGGGAATCCGCCAGGATCCATTCGGGGCCAGAGCCCGGGATCTGCTTTGCTGGGAACATCCATCCCAAAGCTCAGGGCTGCTCTGGGGGGTCCCCACACCCTCCGTGCCTCGGGGATTTATCCCGATGTTGGATCCATCCCCATCCCTGCGCTGCCTCCCCCCAGCGCAGGAAAGGCTCGGCTTTAATGGCAACGTGAGCCCAGGGATGGGCAAGTGATTTCCCGGGATTCTCTTCGACCTGCCAGGGATGAGCCGGGCAGGGAATTTAGGAGCGACCGACCCCAGGGAATCTGGGTCCATCCCATCCTCCAGGAGCAGCTCCAAGCAGGAGCAGGAGCTGTGTAGGATTCCAGGGATTCTGAGATGCAGCCCCAGATGGGGAATCAAGGTCCATCCCCTGCTCCAGGCAGGAGCAGGAGCTGTGTAGGATTCCAGGGATTCTGGGGTGCAGCCCCAGATGGGGACCAGCCTTTCCCCCTCCCCACCCCCAGGCTTTGCAGATTAAGGAATGATGAAGTGCCTGAGTTGTGCAATATTAATGAGCGGAGCCATCTGTCAATCTGGCACCGGCAACGAGCCGGGCTTGGATTTTCCATAGTCCCGTTATTAAAGGCGAGTATTTCCGGCTGGGAGAGCAGCTGGAAAAGTCCTTGTGATCCAGGGCAGCGGGGCAGTGACTCCCAGCCCCCTCCCCACTTCATTTAGGGCCAAGGACAGGGAAGGACAAGCCAATATTGGGATGARGCAGCTGCAGGGGCCCGTTTCCCGCTCCAAAGGACACTTTTCCATTTTTAATGAGCTTTGCTCCTCTCCATTTTACCTGGAGAGTTCAGCCCTTGCTTCAGGTTGATTCCAGGCTCAGGGAGATGGTTCTCACCAACCCTGCCTAAAGTGAAGTGCAGAGCTCCAGGAAAGTCTTATCCATAAAAGATTCAGTCATTACGTATAGGATCTATAGGGCTGCTCCAAGTCATTAAAATTCAGAAGGGGATAAATAATGGAGATGTKCTTGTTTACTTACAGGAAAGAAGCRCTTCCCAGACTTTGTGYGACAGGGGAAATCCAGGCTGGAAGGGGTGACAAAGCACCTGTCCTCAACCTGTTCCCTCTCCCTGTTTGGGGTCCTGGAATGGGGGGATCTGGAAGAGACCCTGGACCAGTCGAACCCAAAGCCAAAACAAAAAGCCAAAAACCCAAACCTCAAAAAAACCTCAAAAACAAAAACACCCAAACCCCAAACAAAAACACAAAAAAACCCACAAAAAAAACCACCCCCCCCAAAATACAAAAAAAACCCCACAAAAAAACCTCCAAAACCCAAAAAATCCCACTCCCCAAAACCAAAAACCCAACCCCGCAAAATAAGCAAACCCACAAAACAAAAACTACAAAAAAACCCAAACCCCAAAAAAACCAAACAAAACCCTAAGCACACAAAACAAAAACAAACAAAAAACAAAACCAAATCAAACAAAAAAAAATTAACACCCCCCAAAAAGAGCGTGACTAAAAGAAAACCCAACCCCCCAAAAAAACAAGACCGAAAAAACCCAAACCAAAAACCCAACTAAAAAAAACCCAAAGCAAATGAATTCCCACCCCAAAACAAAACCCAACCCCAAAAACCCTCACCCTAAACCAAGAAAACAAACAAGAAACCACCCAAACTGCCAATGTAACAACAGAACTTGTACAGTTTTAATTAAAAAGGTGTCAAATTTAGGCYCAGGTGCATTTCTTACAGAAAACTYGGATMTCAAGAGCTGCAAAAGCCCCCAAACGCCTGGAAATGTGCAAAGTACAGCTGGTCACATATTAAGGTTTGTTTTCCTGCCTGTCCAAGCAGTGCAGAGAGGAATCCCAATGGGACAGGGAACCCAAACCAGGCTCCAAACACTTCTTTCACCTCCCCAAGTCAGAGGGAACCCAAATTCCCCTCAGAATTAGGATCTGGGAAATGCACAGAGCCAYCAGCACCAATCTACATCCTATTTTCAGCAGAAAATAAAAGCCCAGCCTGGAATCTGGATTGATTACAAATAAACTCAGCTCATCACCGTCCCAGGCCTCCCTTGCTGGGATTGTTTGAYGAAAGAAAATCTCAGTTTTCCCCTTCAGCCTCCAGAATGGCTCTTGGTTTAAAATTCATCCCAAAATGAGAAGTGTGCAAACAGCACTTGACCCTAAACTGCTGCAGAGGGAGTTTTAAACTCCCTGGTTTTGTGGTTTAAGCTTTTCCCTCTCAGCAGCTTTGTGTCCCAACAGGAAGAAAACCCTTTGGGTGTTTCTGCTCCATCCAGGTTTCCTTGCCCTCATTCCCTGGGGATCAGCTTCTCCAAACAATTSAAACCTGCTGCCTCTTCCAACAACTCCTTAATATGTGGAACTGCAAGAAACTCCCAAAATGTGGCTCTGTGCCCACTCCAAAGCCAGGGCAGTCAGTTTGCAGCTGGCTGTTCCTGGAGGTGGCTACCAAAGCAAACCCAAGAAACTCCAGGAAGAGATTGTTCCTGATGAAAAACAACCAGAAAATATTCCTGAGGATTTTATCCAAGTTACAGTTTCTCAAAAGCAGTGATGAACTTTGAAACTTCRTGGTGAACTGTAGTGCCCAAAGGGAGCTGCTTCAATCCCTGGGAAGAGACAAAACACAATTAATTCCCTTCAGGAATATTTTTTTTTAATACAAAATGATRCATTTCAATATCTAATTGATAAGGGATGTCATTGCCATTGATCTGCTTTGCTGTTAAATCCTACAAATATTGGGATACTCACCGAGTCACGGAAAAAGGTGCAGAGCTGCTGTGCCCAGGGACACCTGAAAGAGAGAGAAATTCCCACTCAGTCCCACCAAGGGACAGAGCTGCTCACAGGTGCAGCCACTCCTGTCTTTGCATTACTTAAAAATCTACAAAAAATCCAACAATTTGCTTGCAGTTCCAAACAGAGGTGATTTCAGATGTGCAGGAAAATAATGAAGACCAAGACCAGGAGAAAGAGGATTTCATCAGTTTCTCTAGGCTCACTGCTGGAGGAGAAGAAAGAAATCCAAAAGGACAATTCATGGATTTGTAAACTGCCTGTAAATTTGTTAAATGCAGCTTTGCTCATCCATCATTGAGTGAATGAGGATGRCACATCCRTYTCACTCAGAAGAATTACCAAGAGGRGAATTCTYRGCTGCCATCAGCTCCAAAGTGCCAGAGAAGCAAATTCTCTGCACCCCAACCACAGAGCAAACTGATTTCACAACTATTCTATCAATTTATTGAAATCTATCACTCTAAACCTCCAAAATTTCCCCTGCAAAGCTCAGGAGATCAAGGATTCCACAGAGGCTGCAGTGCTTCATGATCAATCATAATCTATAAAAGCACTCAGRGTTGTGAAAAGGTCTGGTTTCCACACCCACTGAAGCTCTGAGCTGCTGCAGAGCCAAGGGGCTCTGCTCCCTTTAAAAGGATCAGGATATTCCCAAACCTTCCCTTTTTGCTGAGSGTTTGCTCTCTCACATGATGATATCTGTTCCAAGTTCAAGACATCTGCACGCCCACTGTAGTCACGYAGAGACACAAAAATAAACATTTTGGGCTACTTTTCTCTAAGGCTTTCTACAGTGTTATACCCAGGAACTGTTTTGCTTTAAGCCTTAATTTAAAGAATTTTGGCTATTGGTGGTGACAGTGATGCTTAAAAACTCCTCATTTGATGGCTGCCAGGATTGCCAAGAGCTGCCAATGCATTTTCCTTAACTCCGAGTGCTGGGAAGCTGCAACAGGTAACACAGAATAATTCCCAATCTCCCCCTATCTGGTGTCTTTCCCACGGCTAAAACCAGGAATGAACTGAGTTAATTAAGAGGGAGCTCCCCCCAGAGGGACAATCCCRAGGTTTCCCAGGATCCCACTCACAGAGGCAGGTTGTCGATGATGATGTTCAGGGTGAAGAGGCCAACAGATTGCATCCTCTGGTGTCTGCAGGTCAGGAACAGGCACACGAAATCCCCCACRTACTTGGGGCCCAGGTTCTGCCACCTGATCAACAAAACCAGCAGCTGGTCAGATCACTCCACTTTGGATTTGCATCTCTGACTTATCCAAAGCAGGGCCAAGAGCTCCCCGAGAGCTCGGGATCATCCCTCTGCCGTGGGACTGATCCTGGATTTCCTCTGGGAGCAGGGGTTGACTCACACGCTCAGCATTGTGCCTTTCTCCCGATTCAAATCCCTCAAAAGCAGGTTGGCAGTGCCACAGAGGATGTGATCCTCACAGGAAAGTTGRTCCAGCAACATCCTCAGAGCCCAGAAGTTTTTCTAAGTGACAAAACATGATCAGTGATTTAACCTCAATGCAAATCATTCCTTAAAAAAAAMMMCAACATAAAGATCAAAGCAAAGCCAAGTTAAACGTGGTTACAACCTCCAGGATGGTGATCCAGAGATTTCAAACATTATTTGGACAGGAACCAGTTTCTAGGACTCACCCCAAAAGCCAGAACTATCTCTAGGAAGGAAGTGAGGTGGAAAAGGTCATAACAAAGCATCTGCTGCACTGCTTGSACGGCCAGGATCAGAGAAGCCTCATGGTGTAGCTACATGAAAGACAGAAACAAGGAAAGAAATGGATAAAATATAAATTTATTCCCTATTTATCCATTGTATCCATGCAAACCAGCACTGAGTTATTCCATTTCAGTCAGAGAGCTTGGAGGTCACACAATAAATTTACTAGAACCTTATCAAGAGTTATAAACAGGGGAGTAGAACAGAGACTTCATTTCTGGTGCTCTCCAAGWGCTCACAGAAACATGAAATCTCACAAAGGAGCAGAAATAGGGAATTAAAGGGGAAAAAAATCCAGCTCAGGAGTCACGTATTTGGAGACTAAACTAAAATTTCCTCAAAAAAAAGTAAAAAAGAGTAAGGTAGCTCCTTAGATGACTGCATTGATTATGGAATCTTTTTCCTGCCAMCTTCAAACGTGTCCCACATAGTTGAAACCCTTAATTTAAAAGAAATTTAGAACTTCTGGGCAATTCTGAGTTTTGAGACAAGCAGTGACAAGTCCCAAAGGACAGCATCCTGTTTGAGCCAAACCTTAGGAGAAATTAAGASACAGTGAATTATTCCCAAACTTCCTCCTTCATGAATCTCTAAATTTGGGCACTGATAAAAAACTTGTTCTGGATTGAAGGTGTCCAGACAGAACAGTTGAGACTGTGCTAATCTTAAAATGATCCCCTTCCAAAAAAATCTTCCACCCCCTCTTAAAAGCTTTTTGTGACAACCCATTATTTTTCACTCCTGCTATGTCTTGAGTGCAACACAAGTGATAAATTTTCCTTGCTGCCATCACTCACCTGAGCAGAGAAAAGGGCAGGTGGTAAAGAGACATTAACTCTGGCCTTGAGATCCTCCAGAACRCTGTTGCTGGCAACCAGCACCTTCTGCAAGGGGACAGGAGGGAGGAGGTGTCAGATGCTCCTCAAACAAACACTGAACAGTGCCAAAGGTGGGGGTTTAATGTGCTTTTCTGTGGGTTTTTCAGCGTTTTTACAGAGGATGGTGCCATGGGCAGGGGCATCTTCCACTGTCCCAGGCTGCTCCAAGCCCCATCCAGCCTGGTCTTGGGCACTTCCAGGGATGCAGGGGCAGCCACAGCTTCCCTGGGCACCCTGTGCCAGGGCCTCCCCACCCTCCCAGGGAAGGATTCCCTCCCAATATCCCACCTATCCCTGCCCTCTGGCAGTGGGATGCCATTCCCCCTTGTCCAGCCCCTTGATGAGTTGATCCATCCCAACATGAACAGATGCAGGATCAGTACCGGCCACTGAGCTGGGAGCAGGATTAACCCATTTCCAGCTGCATTCAGCATTCCTGAATCCCAGCATCCTGCAGAGTTACCCCTGGCACAGGAGCAGGATTAACCCATTTCCAGCTGCCTTCAGCACTCCTGAATCCCAGCATCCTGCAGAGTTACCCCTGGCACAGGAGCACTGGGTGAGGCACTGGAAGTTAACCTTGGCATTCAGCAGAAGGAGCCAATTCCCAATTCCCACATCCAGCTGAATTTTGTCTAACCCCAAGCCAGGAGGTTCTCCCACCTCCCTGCACCRTTTGTTACCGCTTGGAAGGCGAGCGGGGGCTCTTCCAGGGTCAAGGGAAGGAGGTGCCCCCTCTTTTCCAGGAAATTGCTACTCCCCAAAACCATTATGAAGGAGCTCCAACATTTGGCCTGAAAAGCAACAGGACATTTGTTTTCCAGAGTGGAATCTGTCCAGAGGGGTAAATTATTCACAGAGAAAAGGGGTCTCAGAGTGAATCCCTGCACTCCAAAGGAGTGGGACAGAAGAGGAAATTTTGGCCTGACTCACGTTCCTGCAGAGTGCCTTGCTGCTGTACAGCACTTTGAGTGCCTGCTTAATTAGCACACTGCTCCTCAGGGGAGTGCCTGTAGGGAGTGGAATGAAAAAAAAAAAAAAATCAAACCCAGACCTTACATAYCCCAAATATCTCCACAGTAGGAACACAAACAGGACATGAATTCAGGGACAGACCTGTTTCTACAGAAACCTGACAAGCACAAGTGTTTACAGCTATTTTACACAAGTTTGTTGGTAGAATGGATAAATATCAACTGTAAAACACAATTCTGGAAAGCTACAAAGAACTGGACACAATCCAGACTGAGCCATCCCAGCAGGTGATCCCAAAGAAAGTGTTTGTTGTGTGCATCACACCTCAGTGGGACACGGAGCTATCTCACACTTCCAAGAATTCTGCCAGTAGGGAACAACTCCCAAATCAATCTTTCATTGCAGGAGACACTCTGACAAACAGCAAAGTCCAGGCCAGATGATGACAGTTATCAGAGGCTGAACTAATGATTCTGATGATGAAACATTTCCCATCAGGAGGTTTTCTCCTCAAGGTCACGGCAGAGACACAAAGCCAAGCCCCATACTGACACTGGCAAGGCTGGGAGGCAAGGAAAAGCTTTCGATTTTCTTTTAATGCTTTCYCTCACTTTGCTTTCAGCAGAACCTCACAGCTGACTAAATGAGTGTTTGGAGTGAACTGAACTAATTCATGCTCCAGTCCAAAGTCACCGTTCCTGCCTGGTGTCTTCACGGTTTGGACTGGAAGGAACCTCAAAGCTCATCCAGTTCCAACCCAACACCTTCCACTAATCCCAGGTTCCCCCAAGCCCCATCCAGCCTGGCCTTGAACACTTCCAGGGATCCAGGAGCAGCCCCAGCTTCTCTGGGCACCCTGTGCCAGGGCCTCCCCCTCCTAGTTGGGTTCAGAATGTCACTAATTTGAATGACAATTAAAAACCCTAATGAAGTTCTCAGTGGATGGAAGGAAGAAGCAACACTTACCAGCTGAAACCCAGGGCCCTGTCTCCACTATGTCATTCCCAGAGGGAACACAGCCTGTCCGGAATATTTTGAGGTAAACCTTGAACTGGCAGGGAGTGATCCTGCAGGCAGAGCAGCAGGCCAGGCTGTTCACAGGGAATAGCAGCGAATGGGTAGCGTCCATGAAATCYCCGGTTTTGCACAGGTAGAACGGGATCATATCCCGAAGGTCTCGGAGTCTGRAAAGAGGGAATGGAGGTTTGGGTTTCATTAGGATGAGTTTTTTATGGGGTGTACAGATAGATGTGATTGTRCTTGATCACTAAAGAGGGGAGGAAAGAAAGGGAAAAGGGAGTGGGGGGGAAAGAGGAAGTGGCAGGGAAAAGGCAGGAAAAAAGGGGCAGGGAAAAAAAGGTGGGGAAAAAGGGGCGGGAAAAAAGGGGCAGGGGAAAAAAAAGGTGGAAAAAAAGGGGCGGGAAGAATGGGGCAGGGGAAAAAGAAGGGTGGGGAAAAAAGCTTTTACCTTTGGTTATCATCACATTTCACAGCTCTCAGGTAACGAACAACTTCCTTATACCTGGGGAGAAAACACAAGGTGAGCAGGAAGGGGAAGGATGTGTAAAGCTGTGCCCAGGTCACTCAAATATTTCCTATAATGAATGAAGCAAAGCAGCAGAGCTTCCCACACAAGAGACATTGYTCAGCAGGACAGAAACATAGCTGGCAGCAAGAGACAGCTGGAAAGAAATTCCTAGAAGTTTTCCCCAGATTATCTCAACTCTGGCAAAATAAAACCAGAGGTTGCCTTTCAGTTGAATTCTTTAAGCGGACTGGATTCTTTTGAATATTGGGTTTTCTGGAATACTGCCCTCTGAAGACCAGAACACATTTTTGTGGTTGTCCTCAACTTGTCAGCCTTTGATGAAGAGAAATAGTTTGAAAAATCAACCACCAAAACCTGAAGGGTTTRTGGAAACACAGAATGAGCCACTCCAGCAATGTTTTTTTGGTCTYGAGGCATTCAAAGGGCTTTGAGAAACTTCAAAAAGTTCTTGGCCTTGCTGATTTAAAAAAAAAAAAATTTAAAAAAACCCCAAACCCCACAATCTTTGTTTTGTGTTTCTCCGTTGCACCAAAGTTCAGAGATTTGGAAAACACCCCAAAACATAAGACCTGAGTTCCCAAAATGAAAAATCCAAAGCAATCTCACTTCTTTTTATCCAGCAGTTTCTCCACTCGAGCTTCCACTACAGGGAGTGCTTCCCATAGGTACATTTTCCTTCCTTTCAGCCTTCTCTGCCCTGTGGTGTTCTGGCCTTTTAAAACCGTGGTCAGTAACATGTGGTCCCAGGGCACAACATTCAAGCTGGAAGGACAAAAATAAAGTCATTTTTTAGTTGTGTTTTAACTGTACATCATTAATTAGCTCCTTTCAGGATCGTGAAATTTGATTAATAAAGCATTTTGGGGATTAGAGTTCAGTTCTGGGGAAAGGAAAATAAACTTTAGGGAGAACAGCTCAGTCACAGCATCAAATAACMAACAGGGAAAGCAGCTAAGACTGAAATATTCCTCTAAAATGCTCCCACTTTTATTACCAGAGAAAGAACATTCCATAGGCAACTGGATCCAAATTAATTCAGAGCATAAAAGCCCAAGAACTCACCAATTTGTGAAAGCATGACAGTGACAGGGAAGGGAGATGGACTGAAAAAACTGAATAAACTTTTCATACAGAGTTTTTGGAAAGTCACACAAAACCAGCATCCTCTGAAGTCGGGTTGTGATCCTGTGATTTAAAAACAATTAAAAATTAACATTTTAAGATAAGATGAGTTACTAACAAGTCTTCYTTTTTAATCGTATGGGAAACTACACAAGTCTGGGTTTCTTTTTGTTTGGATCTGTATTGAAATTTCTGCTTTAAGTTTTGTAGTGAATAATGAAATTATTATTTTGCTGTTATTTTTAAAACCAAGGATCTGTGGATTTAGGCATTAAAACAAAGATCTCCAAGGAATATGTACAGGAAACAGTTCGAGCTACCTGAGCTCCTGTACCTTCCCTTCTACTGGAACCATTTTTGTATTATCTGGTAAGTGGAGACAACAAAGAAGGGTTCACTCTTTAAAATTTAGGAGGGAGGTAAAAACTCCTGTTCTTTCCAAGTAAGAAATAAAAAAAAATCAAGAATAGTAGTTTAAAAATGAAATGAAAACTGCTGAAGGATTTAGGTTGTACTTGTCATTAGTTCCAGAGAAGGTGAGAATATAGAATTGGGTTGGAAAAGAAGTTAATTCTTCACTCATCAACCTCCTGTAGCAAGTGAATTTGGGGGGAAAAGGTGAAGGAGAAAGCTAAAATGGGAAGTGAATTAAGCCAAGGGAGCTGGGTGTCCTCATTCTCCAGCCTCTGGAGGAACTTTTCCATGCTCCATCCCAGTGGAATCCTCCCAGGCTGCTGCAGTGACCTCTACCAGCCACCATTTACTCCTTGGTGTGACAGCCACAACCTGCTCAGGCCTCCCACAGACCCCACGGGCCTCTGAACAGCAGATTTGTCACCTGAAATGCATTTTAAAGCCRACCAGAAAGTTTGTAGCCAGAAAGGAAACCAGCCTTACCTTTGGAACAGAAATGGGACAGCAATCCTTAGGGAAGCAGTGTGCCCAAGGTTCTGACAGCTCCTAAGACTGGGAAAAAACAGCACTAATTAATGCCTGGCTCCCCTWCCCGCCTTTTGCCCTTCTCTGTACTCAACTCTTGAAGAAAATACTTTTCCTTTAAAAGTCTTGGAAGCTGGCATGCTGATAAAAATGATTGCTAAAATGCAAACGACAGGGCAGACCTTCCCAGAGAACAAGTCTAGCCTGCTCCTTGCAAAGCTGGATAATTCCTCAGCAGCAATTGCAGGGGAGCTGATGTTTCTGACCAATCTGGACATAATTTCCTTCTCTTTTGCCAAAAGTTTTGAATTTAAGACCCAAAACGTTCAGATTTTGAAAAGCAAAGCTCTGCAGTTCTCACGCCTGACAGTAATGAAGGAGGGAACAGCCAGGATACAACAAAATAAGCAGCACAAGGAGCAAAGACTGAAGCGTTTTAACCCTTTAAAAAAAATCATCATAAATAAACTCAGCTTCCAGACTGGGAGCATCCAAAAMTTATCACCCATCAAGCATCTCAAACACTCCTAGCACTCATTCCTGCTTAACTTCTCCCTATTCCATCCAACCTTGAACCTCTTTTCCCCAAAATCCCCYCTGTACCAAATAATCCCATTTCTCCTTAAGTGTGCTCATCTCCTGTGATGCAGCCTGGGCTGGGATTTTCACACTTTCCTCACCCCTAACAAACAAAACCCCAGGATTCTCTAATTCCCCTCTCTTGGAGGAAATAAGGAAGGTACTTACAGAGCAGGGTCTTTGTGCAGGGCAATCTGTTTAGCTGCTCCCAGGAGCATGATAGCAGCAGCTTTGGGGCTTTCTTGTTCTGCCTGATTTAAAAATCTTGCKACCAGCTCGAAAACACCAGAATACCTGAGAAAGTCAAGTGGCCCGTAAGATCAAGGATCTGCAACAATGAATTTCCTAAACAAGTGGTAACTGTAACCATCCTAAAGCTTGAGAACAATCAAGAGCCCTGCCTTGCCTTCAAAGGATCGACAACACTATGAGAAGGTGCTTGCACAACCAATACTCTGGGAATTTTAAAGGCTTGTTATGCCAGTGAAAAGGTGAAACCCATTCTGAAGAGCAATCAGTAAAAATCACAGAATCCCAGAATTGTTCGGGTAGGAAGGAACCTTAAATTCCAACCCCAACWCCTTCCACTCCRCCAGGTTGCTCCAAGTGCTGTCCAACCTGGCTTTGGATACTTTCCAGAACCCAGGGGCCTCCCCACCCTCCCAGGGAAGGATTTCTTCCCAATATCCCACTTAAACCCAACCCAAAGTCCAGCCTTTAGGTTCATGCTTTCCCAGGTCTTAATAATGAGAGATTTTCAGGTGATTCTGACTGTCACTTCATGAAATCATTCAAACTCCAGTTCTGTTGTCACTTACTTGTGCACAACCTCCATGTGCTGTGAGCGGCAGCTATCACACTGCCCAGGGGGCAATTTTGGCACACAAAAGCATTCCTGTGCTGGGGGACTTATCCATTCTCCTATTAGGTACATGTTATATGCTACAGAAAGTTCCCTGATAAATTTTTCTAGGAGATCTCCTAAGAGACAAGACAAAAAAAAAAAAAAAAAAAAAAAAAAATCGCACAAAGTGTTTTGCATTTGTTTTTTGAAAACCAAAGGGAAAAGTGTCCCATGTGAAATTATGTAGAAAATTGCTTGCACCCAATTTTATTGACCAGGATGGCTTTGTTGCTGAAAGAGGGGGAATTTAGGTTGGATATTGGAAAGGAGGGGGGGAGGCCCTGGCACAGGGCACCCAGAGAAGCTGTGGCTGYCCCTGGATCYMTGGAAGTGTCCAAGGCCAGGYTGGACAGGGCTTGGGGCACCCTGGGGTGGTGRGAGGTGTCCCTGCAYATTGCAGGGGGTTGAAATGAGATGATCTTCCAACTCCATTCCACCCCAAACCATTCTGTGATCCCTGCAGAGGGAAAAAAGCAGGAATCCAATCCTGCAAACCCATGCCTGATCCAAACATGGATAAAGAAAGCAACCACAGCAATTTGCTCCTTAAAACTTCCCCAAGGATTGGTGTGGAGCAGCCAAGCTGCTCYGCAGGCCCCAGGCTGAGCACTGCCAGGTTCCCAAGGCCACTGTGGGGGCAGAGCACTCACCGCCGTGCCGCAGCTCCGTGTCGATGTCCAGCAGCTCCAGGTTGAACATGGCCAGCACCCCAGTCAAGGCAAGGTTCCTCTGGCTCTTCCAGAAGCTGCTTTTGTTGTGGGCATTGCAGTGGCACAGGGAAGGGGTTGTCCAGTGCTGGCACTGTGTCATAAAGCAAAAGAAAACGCCAGGGAGAAGTTGTTGTAATTTCATTTTTTTCCTTTCAGCTGCTCTGAGTAAAGGGTTACAATTTCTTTAATCATTTCCACAGCTGAGCAAAGCCACAGGGAAATATTTGGACAGGCAACAATTTGATATCATGGTAACCATAGGAAAAAAAAACCACTTATTAATTACCTGTCATTCCTGAGCACTTCAGAGACCCTCAGGGCTGGCACCCTCCCCACTGGAAATTGGGAACACAGCCTTGTCTTTGCATGTTCACCCCAACTTTGCTCACAAAGTCTTCTGAATTTCACACAAGATGCAAGCAAGTAAACCACCCCCACAAAATTCCCTCTACTCCTAACTCCACTTAGGCCAGTCTAAAAAGCTGACATTTCTGTAATTTATTTAAAAAATGCCTGATTTAGTAATTTAATTTTATGAAATGCACTGTGTGCCCAAGAGCAAACAGGAGGTACATTTATTTATATTTATTAAATGTTTACTCCAACAACTGCCCAGACTAGAAAYAAACCCTGACAGAACCACACTTTTAGTAGAATTACGAGTGACTGTTAATCAAATTTCCTGTATTTCTTATTCTCCTAGTGCCCTTAACTCTTCCCTGGGAGGCTGTGGAGGCCCTGGCAGACTCTCAGAGAAGCTCTGGCTGCCYCCAGATCCCTGGRAGTGTCCAAGGCCAGGCTGGACAGGYTTGGAGCAGCCTGGGATGGTGGAAGGTGTAGCAGGACAGCCCCCTGCCACAGCAGTTTATCTGTTGCTTGWCAGCTGCTGCAGAACTCAGGGCATCTCCCCCTCACGTGAATTTGTTAATTGGTGAGATAAAACAGGACAGCCTTGGGATCACCTCTCCCAGCTGACTGCAAATGTCTCGCTGTGGAAGAAGATTGTGGGGAGATCAACTGGAATTTCTAGCTCCACATCACAATCTGTAAAAGTTCCACCAAACTCTCACTAAGCAGGAATCTTCTGCACATTCCCTGGCAATGGTGGGGCTTTCCCCCAAAGCTGGGATGCTGCTTTGCAGTTAYTCCCTCGAGAATGRMGTAAAAAGGCCTCTGTGTAYACATTTGGTGGTGAGTTACCCTGACTCCTGATTTATCCCATTTCTTTGCTGGCTTTAATATAGGTACCTCGATATTTTCCACTGTTTTCTGTAACTCACCAATAGCTCTCTGCTGTCCTGTGTAATAATTAACTCTGTTTAAGGCCTTCTGTGACCTCCTGTCTACACAATAAACAACTCATTTTATAGCAGACCTGACCTGCCATCCTTAACAACCTATCAGCCAGAGGGATTTAGGTGTGGATCCCCTGAGAAAAACCCAAAATCTGAGCCTGAGGCAGGGCCTGTCTAAAGCTTTCCCATGATCACCTTGTCCCTTTGTCCCCTCCAAGCTGTGCCTCCCCCCTTACCTCAGCAGCCGGTTTGTCACAGATGTAGCAGTAGCACTGGTCACAAATAACATTGTTTGTCCCGAGGGGGGAACAAGTGTCACACTCTGTTCTCCTGCAAGGTTGAAAACCAGAGGRTTATTTAGGAAAATCACATCCTTACCCAGCTCTGCTCCCAGCTGTTACAAAGCTAAAGGCAAGGAGGACTAAATGTGGAAAATGGGACCCCAAATGGAACTGCCCAGCCCTGGATGTACTCGAAGGGGTGCACGTTGCAGTCATATCTTGCATGAGGCATCACATTTGCTTGTTTACAGTAGGTGACCACTAAATCCTCTTTCTCATCCACTATTTCTTCTGGTTTCTTCTCTTCCAGGTGAGATTCATCTGTAGGAAAGAGAGCARCAGGTGTAAATCAGTGCAAAAGCAGCTACAACTTCCACATAAATTATTGATATTTAGTTTTTGAACCCTTTAWGGCACATGTTTCCTGGGATTTCACAGAAGAATGGTGTACAAAACTTGCATGAACTATCAAACCAGAGGATACTACATCAAAAAGGACCCAGCTGACATTGAAAAGGCCCAGTCTCAGCTAGATTTGAAATATATGAAAACTACACAGTGGCACCGTTAAGAATTAGTGCCATCAAAGATATCCCTAAAAATTATGAAATCCTGGCAGTTCCTCCTGGTTTTATTTACTCGTGCAGCACAAAGGCAGATTTCAAGCATAACATACAACGAATTCAGTTTATTCCCTACATCTTTCAGAGAAGTCCAGCAGCAGAAGAAAGGGAACAGCTCTTACCCTGTAGCTCTACACACAGGACAGAACTCCCTTGGGTGTTCTCCACTTCCTCATCACCACCATCATCATCATCACTGATCACGATCACGTTCTGTTCTTCCTCCTCTTTTTCTGATGGCCCCATGACCACTGAACTCCAATAAGAAACTACTTAGCAGCAAGACGGTTCATTCACACTTTAAAGGTGTTTTYCTCAACAAGGGGAGAGAAAGACTCATCCAAGATCCAATTTCTTCATCTCTCTTGGGTAAATTACACTACAGATGGAAATGTTTCATCCTCAGTGCAGTCAGCAGCTCAAAACCCATGGGAATTTCCATTCAGAGCTATGAGAACCCTAAAAACAAAGAGGGGGGAGAAAAAAAGAAGAAAAAAAAAGTCAGAATAAGAGGTAAGCCTTTCTTCTGGTGGGTTTGGTGGAACCAGCTGTGGAATAACTATGAGGAGAAGGGGAAGGAGTTCCCACTGACAGGGAAGGGTTAGATGGGATATTGGGGCAAATTCCTCCCTCTGGAGGCCCTGGCACAGATTCCCAGAAAAGCTGTGGCTGCCCCTGGATCCCTGGAAGTGTTCAGCACCAGGSTGGACAGGCTTGGAGCAGCCTGGGATAGTGGAAGGTGTCCCTGTCCACGGGAGGGGGTGGGACTGGATTGCTGGAAATAATACAACTTCGAATTTGGGGCCAATGAACAGAAATCGCTTTGGGTTTTGTGTGCACACATCTGCAGAAAGTCCAGTAAAAAGCCATCTCTATATGGAATATTTTCTGTGGCACATCTTAGCCAAAATAAATGCCTGATTCTTTATCATTACATAGTGCTAGAGGGTTTGGGGTTTTTTTCTGAATTTCGCTGACAGGATGAGCTTGAAATTCCTCCCATCCCAAAGCATTCCAGAATTCCACGATAACAACTCCTGCTCACAACCACTCGTCTGTCCCTTACCCCGGCCACACCACAACACCCAGCACAACTCCCCCAACTCCTCAATCTCAAACATCCCCCACCTCACCCCGCCCCACAACGCTCCCATTCCACTCCCCTCCCTTCCCTCCGACACCCCCAAACCCCCCA